GCCCTGCCCTCCCTGGGGCCTGTTTCCTCATCTGTGATAAATAACAATAAGAGCCTACCTTTATTGAATGATCTTTCAACACTCTGAAGTAGATGCTATGACTACAGCCACCAGGCACAGAGAGGTTAAGTGACTTGCTCAAGGTCACACAGATAATGAGGATGGAGCTGAATTCCAGCCGAGACAGCCAGGCCCCAGAAGCTGTGCTCTTGATCATGGTGTAACACAGAGACGACAGGGAAACAAGAGGTGCCAAAGGCCCTCGGGGCTTGGCTTTGACACGTGCAGTCCCTAGAGCCCCCTTGCAAGCCTGTGGGGACAACGTGACGTTTCTTCTCACTCTGGTGCCTTTCCACCACTGCCACAGGTTGGACCAGAGTGGGCGTTTGGTGAGGCTTCAGAGCACAGCTATGCAGGACAGCTGCCTGAGTGAGAGGCACAGACACCTCGAACCCACTGCCAGGGGCAGCAGAGTGGCCCAGGACCAGTGCCCTCGAGAGCAGTGATCCTTTGTCAGGCTGACGAGATCATTCTCATCACCGTCTCTGCTGTTCAGACGAGAGCACTAGAGCCCCTGGAAGCCCCGGATCCCTCCCTCCAGAGGGTTTTTCCTCAGCTCGTTATTATTCGGTAACTCTTAAGACCTTTATTGATCATTTGATCCCCTTCCTAGACTGAAAGCCTCACAGGGGACCACGCCTGCTTTTGCTCCCAGGGACTAGCCGGGCACCCGGCACATGGATGAATGCCATAGTGACCTACAATCACACAGCTGGTGAGGCCTAGCCTTTCAGAGCGCCGTCTCCTCCCTAAGCCCATTCTGCTCCGACTGAAAGAACTCTTCATTGGGAGGAAGGTCATCCAGGAGGCCACATCTTCTTGGAGCAGATAGGACACAAGGTAAAGAAAACAGAGCAAGCACAGGAGAGGGAGAGAGTGTGACAGTGCTGGCTCCTCAGTGGCCCATGCACTCTGGGACTGGAGAGGCCCCCCGGGTGCGTGACTATGACGCGGGGCAGTGGAGGCTGGGACTGTTCTGGACTGGCTGTCCTGGGGCCATGGGGCAGAGGAGAAACGGTTGTTGCTTGCTGGGCCAGAGGCTGAGAGGGAGGCGAGTGTGGGCTGTCATGGTGATAGAACCAGCGCCCGGAAATGCTGAACAGAGGGAGACAGGCCACAGATTCCAGCAACTCTGGGTCCCTTCCCACCCAGCGCTGGGACAGGGGAACAGCCTGTGTCCCCAAATCAAGCCTGAGTTCTGAAGACCTGAAGAAGCTGCCTACATGAGTCGCCACCCTAGGGTAGGTGATGCACCTGACTGCTTCAAAGCATTCCCCTAATGGATCCCGCACTCGCCTGGGAGGAATTACTGGTCCCAACTTACAGACAAAGAGACCCAGAGAGGCAGGAGTGACCTGCAGAGGCCATGTGGCCAGTGGAGATGGAGAATGGCCGAGAACCTAAAACTCCCAACCCCAGCCTAGCCAGAGCCACGTGCCTTGGGCTAGGGTTTGCACTGGCACCTGGGAAGCGGGGCCACTCAGCAAATCTGAGCCCTGTGGCCTTGTTTTGCGGCTAGGAGCCTGGACTGACCTGGGTTGACCTTGCTCATGCATCTAGCCCCCTCTAATCAAAACCAGCCTGTGTGCTTTTCTCCTGCTCAGGGGAGGCGCCAAAGAGCTGACAGGCGTTAGGAAGAGTCAGGTGACACGAGGAATCTGATTTGCCAAATGGCTCTGGCCCCCTCGGCCCTTCCAGGAGCCATGGGGATCAGAAGCTACTCAGGTGCAAAATAAACTGGGTTTTGGCCCCCCAGACACACTTTCATTTTGAGCTGTAACAATCGTTACTGTGGCTGTCACACAATCGTGGTGGGCAACTGTCACAACAATGAATGAGGCTCAGGGAGGGAGGCCACTTGTCCTGTCACCCAGGCCCCATCTCCACCCACGGGCATCCACGAGCAGTCGGCTCACAGCCCGGCCAGTGGGCCTGTCCTCTTCAGACCTTCCACACAGCCTTCAGAAACCCGGGAAATGCTGCCACTTGTCCTTCGGAAGCTGTCCAAGAAGTTATCTGCTGCTTTTCAGAGTGATGCATTGCCCAGATTTAAAAATCCTAACGAGAGACGGACTTCTTTAACCACTGTTCTAGTTAACATAGATTGGGGTTGAGGCCCCCAAATCTGTATTCTGGTTAAATCTGGATTCCTGGCTTCACTTAAAAACCAGGATCTGGCCACCTAGAGCCTTTGGGTGGGGTGAGGCTCATGAGTTCAAGGCTCCACTGCACAATTAATTTGAGGCCCAGTGCCTGAAGTATCTGAGTTCCCCTAGAAGTCCTCCATTCTCCCCTCCAGCATCATTTTCAACCTGTGCTTAACCAGCTTCCCATAGCTGCCCTCCGCACAAAATCCAAACTCCTGCCCACAGTTCACCAGCCTCACAGGGTCTTGCCCTTGCTAACCTCCCCTCATCCTGGGCTCCTTGTCCCCTTGGCTCACCGTGCTCCACCATCCCACCCTTCGTTCTGCTTTTCACAAGAGCTTGGTCCACTCCCACCTCAGGGCCTTTGCACACACCCTGTGTGGCACACTGCCCCCAACTCCTCCCATGGCCGCTCTTGTCTGTCGTTCAGTTTCAGCTCATGTGTGGCTTCCTCAAAGAGGCCTTCAGCTCTAGCCTATTCCTGTCTATTCCGCCATTCTATCTCTTTCCTTACCAGCCGCCTCATCACGTCACAGCTAGTGACGTGGGCTGGTATCCTGACTCTGCCACTTCCCCACAGTGTGACCTTCGGCAGGTCCCCTAACTTGACTGGGCTTCAGCTTCCTCACCAATCCCCAGGGGTCATGATACCCCACCTCACCAGGCTGCCGTGAAGGCCCGTGTCTGCTCAGAGAAAGTGCATGACCCCACGCAGCCACTGTCGCTGCTTCCCACGTCATCATCTCCCGGACCCCACTCCACTGGCTGACGCGGAGGTCTGCTTTGTAACATCCTTACAATCCTTTGTAACAATCCTTAGTACAGCAAATGCTTCCAGGCCAAACCAGGAGCCTGTTACAAACTGGACACGGCTGCCGTCCTGCGTTGTGTTGGTTTCCCCTTCCTGCGCACCCTCCGTTCAACCAGGGGCCTCACAACTCCACCTGGAGCCCTGCCCGCGGAAAGGCCATTTGTCAAAGGAACAGAGCACACCCAGCCTGGCTGGAAAAGAGGCTTAGGCCACCCTGGCCTCGGGACTTGACAGCTTACTCAGGGCAGTCGCTCTGTAAAACCCCCTCTCCTTGATGCAAGCAGGACTCCCCGTCCACCACAAACACTCACTCTCCTCCCCATAAATCTGCTTCTTATAAAACTTGATTTGGGCCCAGGTCCTCATTTCGGGCAGTCGACCCCACAGCCCCACAGCTGGGAGGTCTCATAAGGTGCAAGCTGAGCTGCCTGTGTGGGCTGCCGTGGAAGTCTGGACAGTGCGACCCGAGCCAGCCCCCAGGAACCTCACAGCATGGCCTTCATGTCCTTGGGGGACACGGCAGTGCTGGGTCATCAGGCCCGCTTGTCTTGGAGGAAATCGCCTAAACGAACACCAACGATTCTAAGGAGTCCATTAAAGTCATTCTGCCTAATTATCCTGGGTTTTGTACTTGTTAAGTGTTTTTCTCTTTTCTTTCTCGGGAACTGCTTTCAAATAAAAATCAGGCCCAGGGCCCCTGAGTCTCCCCCACAGCCTTTGTTAGCTTTAGCACATGCTGGACACTCTATACCCAGGATCTCATTCCATCCTCCAGAGACCCTGCCAGGTCAACACCACGGCCCCATTTGCTGGACGAGGCAGCTGAGGCTCAGCGCATCGGAGCTGCCCGAGGAAGGGCTGCCAGCCAGGGGGCGGCAGAACTGGACTCACACTTGGTCCAGAGCCCAGGTGCCCTTTTCGTTCCCCACCTTTCAGTGTGAGCCACTCTCCGGCCTCCTGCTGGTGCCCCAGACTGGAGGTATGGCCCTTACAGGAGGCCCCTCCACGCCCCCCAACACTTCCTCCTTGTCAAGGTCAGCGATGGGGGAGGGGCTTAGGCTGGGGCAAGGCCATGCGGCTATCTTGTCCTCCTTCCATTTCTATTCCCCAGGCCCCAGAAGCACCCGCCCTCGCCTCTGCCCTCAGCCTGCTCTGCTGCAGCACACAGCCTGCCTCGAGATTCCAGACCTTGCGATCACCTTAAGCAATATAGCCTCTCATACCTTCACAAATGCTGTTCCCTCTGCCTGGAAGACCCTCTCCTCTAAGCACATGAGTCCTGGCTTCTGGCCAGCTGTCCCACCTCACAGCCCTGCTACCTTGGGCCTAAACTCTGACCACCACTGCCCTGACACCAAAAACCCTCACCTGCTGGGCTTGGCTGGAGGCCAGTCTCTGTCCCAGTCTGGGCTGGCCCCAGCTGCCCCAGCACTTGGGCTGGCCAGGAGTGTTCCTGGGTCCCTCTGTACTGCCCCAGCTGGCCCGCCCTCCCACCAGGCCTCCAGAGGGCAGCAGGGTCCTGACCACAAGGACCCTCCACTGGCTGGTGACCCAGCAAACACGCAGCAGATGAGTTGTTGGTGCACCAGCCTCGTGGAGACTGAGAAACTGGAACTCAGCCTGGGCAGGCCTTGAGCCCCTCTTGGGGAAGAGGACCATGGAGAATGGGCTACACCCAGCCCCCAGCCCAGAAAGGAACACAGCTTTTCTGGTCACATCCGCCTATTTGTGGCCCCACCTCACCTCCACATAAAAACGCCAGGAACCCCCACAGCCGTGGTAGAGAGGGTAGAGGGAGGGGCCCGGAGGAGCTCCCTGCAGAACCAGCACCAGAAGCACAAAACAGCCCTTCGGGGCCACCACCAAAACTCCCTGCCTTGACGCTGCGGCCCCCTGAACTAGGACATGGGAAAGGGGTGTCCAGGGGCTGCCTGTTCCTGTGGGGATGGGGGCGCTGCCTGGCCGGCACAGGCAGTACTCACCGTTGGAGCGGTGGATGCAGGTGTGCTGGTTGTCACTGAGGAAAAAGCCACTGTGGCACTGACACTCGTAGCTGCCCATGGCATTGACACAGATCTGCTGGCAGCCACCATTGTTGTCCTGACACTCGTCCACGTCTGTCAGAAGAGGAAGAAAAGAGAAGAGAAATCACATCTGCAGCTGGAAGCGAGGGGTGACTGGCTGGTGGGACATGGATGCAATCAGTTTCCCCACACTGCACGGAAGTGGCTCCATGGAGGTACTCCACGGAGCTATACTACTACAGTGACACTCTGCAGAGGTACTCCCCGGTGGTACTCCATGGTGCTACACCACAGTGATACTCTACAGAGGTACTCCACGGTGCTACACCACAGTGATACTCTACAGAGGTACTCCCTGGTGGTACTCCACGGTGCTACACCACAGTGATACTCTACAGAGGTA